ATCAGGGCCATTCTGGATTCATTGATCATTGGCCATAAAAATGCTTGAACTTTTTGGTGAGCCACTTGGTGGATGGATGCTCCCATCTTGGCCCTGATTCCAAGGTACAATGAGTGAGAAAACAAGCAGGATTGGTTGTAAACCCTCTGGTGACTTATTTATCCAGCTTTTCTCTAGAAGGTTCCAAGGATCTATATAACAAGTGTTTTAAGTGCTGTGTACAATAGCTCTTTGTTATCTATGATCAGCAAAGAAGGCATTTCATAAAAATTGATTTTCTAGTTAACTGGTATTGATTCCCTCATGAAGTTGGTTTGGGCTTTTGGTCTGGAGCTGTGATTCTCATCATGTTGGGAACTTCCAGTGTGGAAACTCCTCCCACTGATGCAGGTTGGTAATTGTTCTACGACTTTGAGTCTTAGAGAGTGGCCTGAGGCACTGCAGGAAGTCACTTGCCTGGGGTTACACAAGTCAGTGTGCGTCCAAGGTAGGCCAGGGATTCAGCAAAACCTGGCTTCAAGGAATGATCTTTTCCTTTTTTTTTGGATAATTAGTCATGTTTATTACAACGTCTAATATAAGGCACAGCTTTTACACATATTAAATCTAGAGCTCTGATTTTAAATTCTTTTGTTTTCTTTTTTCCTTAATAGTACAATAGTATAACATTTAATAGTATTTCATTTTTTCCAATTCCATGGAAAGATAGTTTTCAACATTCATTTTTGTAAGATTTTGAGTTCCAAGTTTTTCTCCCTCCCTCCCTGTCTGATATACAGGTTACACATGTACAATCACGTTAAACCTATTTCCACATTTGTCATGTTGTGAAAGAAGAATCAGAATAAAAGGGAAAAACCATGAGAAAGAAAAAAACCCCAAAAAAGGGAAAATAGTGCACTTCGATCTGCATTCAGACTCCATAGAGATTTATAGTTGATACAGTGCTTATAGGGGCAGCTAATGCATCAGATGGTCAAGTCCGAACTCAAAATGATCTTAATGGGCTGAGTGACGGCCACGGCTGAGAAAGGAAATTTAGAAGTTTCTGTATTTGATTCCCAGTCCCTGTTCGTGTGCATCACGGGTGGAAGCAGGGTTAGACAATTCACATGAAAATGATCCGAGGGTTTTCATGGTAAGTTGGCAGCACATAACTGTTGTAGGCTGTGTGGAATGGCCTCATGTCTGGGATTAGGAAAGTGGTTGCCCTCTGTCCTGATCAGACTATCACATCAGTGGGCTTAAGTTCTGGGCACCACATTCTAGAAAGGATGTAGATCCACACACAAGATGGCAACCAGGATGGATGGTGAGAGGAGGGAAGCTCGTGATCCGTGTGGACCTGCTGAAAGAGCTGGGCATGTTAGCCCAGGGAAGACAAGGATCAGGAGGAATATAAGTACAGTCTTCAAGTCTTTGAAGGGCTATTATTTGGAAGAGGTGTTAAACGTGTTCTCCTTGGCCCCAAGCAGAATTCAAAGTGATGTGGGGCACGGGGCAAGAGGGGCAAGATGTGACGGAAAAGCCAACTTAGTTTGGATTTGAACAACTTCCTCGTAGTGAGAGCTGTACTACCTAGGTGTATGGCAGCTGCCCTTCCTGAAGGGGCTAAGGGCCCACTTGGCACATATGTTCTGGCTGGCATTCTGTGCTAGGTGGGGGTTGGACTGGGGACCTCTGAGCTCCTATCTGTGATTGGGCCTTTTCTTAATGACTCTTGGTTGGCATCATGAACTTCAATTATTGTATTGTGCTATAATCTATAGAAAATTTCATTGTTATGCTGGATTTGATGATCATCTCTGGTTTTTTAAGTATTTTTTAATTAATTTATTTTGATTTATCAACAATCGCTTCCAGAAGCTTTTGAGTTTTAAATTTTTCTCCCTCTCCCTCCCCAAGACGGCATCTAATCTGATATAGGCTCTACATATATTTTCCTATTAAACACATTTTCACATTAGTGATGTTGTAAGAATTAGAACCAATAGGAGGAACCACCAGAAAGAGGAAACAAAACACAACAGAAGAAAAAAAAATAGCAAATAGTCTGCTTCGATCTGCATTCCAACTCCATAGTTCTTTTTCTGGATGTGGATAGCATTTTCCATCATGAGGCCTTTGGAGATGTATTAGATCCTTTCATTGCTGAGAAGGGCTAAGTCTAATGTTAGTCATCACACAACGTGGCTGTTACTGTGTCCAACATTCTCCTGGTTCTGCTTGCTTCACTCAGCATCAGTCCATACAAGTCCTTCCAGGTTTTTCTGAAGTCAGCCTGTTCATCATTTCTTATAGGACAGTAGTATTCCATTACATTCATATACCACAACTTGTTCAACCATTCCCCCATTTATGGGCATCCTCTCAATTTCCAATTCTTTGCTACCACAGAAAGAGCTGCTATAAATATTTTTGTACATGTGGGTCCTTTTCCCATTTGTATGATGTCTTTGGGATACAGATCTAGAAGTGCTATTGCTGGGTCAAAGGGTATGCACAGTTTTACAGCCCTTTGGGCATAGTTCCAAATTGCTCTCTAGAATGGTTTGATCAGTTCACAACTCTACCAGCAATGCATTAGTGTTCCAGTTTTCCCACATCTTCTCCAACATTTATCATTTTCCTGTTTTGTCATGTTGGCCAATCTGATAGGTGGGATGTGGTACCTCAGGGTTGTTTGATTTGCATTTCTCAAAGATGATCATGTCTGTGTAGATGGCTCCCAGATCTGTCTCCCCAGTGCTCAGCTGCCTCCTGAGCCTCGGTCCCACATTACAAACCTCCTGTTGGACATTTCAGATTGGATGGATGTCCAGGGAGCATTTCACACTCTCCGTGTCTAAAACTGAATTCAGGTTCCCCCCACCCTCTTCAACCCATTTCTATCAAAGGCACCACCATCCTTCTGATGTCCAACTTGGCCTTAGCTTTACCTCCTCATTTCATGTAGTTAATTAATTGTTAAATCTTCTCATCCCTTCCTCCTCCACATGTCTCCTGTCTGACCCCTTCTCTTCACTCATGCAGCTACCACCATAGTTTAAGCCCTCAGCACAGCCTGCCTGAACCCTTGCACTGGCCTCCTAACTGGCCTTCCTGCCTCTCCAATCTAGTCTCCACTGCTGCCACACTGATTTTCTTTATTTTGTTTTTTTAGGCAGTTGGGGTTAAGTGACTTGCCCAGGATCACACAGCTAGTACGTGTCAAGTGTTTGGCCTGAGGCCAGATTTGAACTCAGGTCCTCCTGACTTCAGGGCCGGTGCTCTATCCACTGTGCCACCTAGCTGCCCCTACACTGATTTTCTTTACGTGCACATTTGACCTTGTACAAATCTGGCTCCCCTACCCAGCCAACTCCAGTGACTCCCTCTTGCCTCAACATTGGAATATAAACTCTTCTGTTTAGCTTTTAAAGTCTTACCCAAACTGACCCCACCCACCCTTCCATCTGCTCTCCTTCTCTTCCTCCCTCTCTCCCTCCCTTCTTCCCTTCCTCCCAGATTACTTTGTATTTAACTACTGGACAGATATTGGTATTTATTCTTTTGCTATTTCTGCTGCACATACTTCCATATGTATACATTGTCTCCCCTGATAGACTCTAAGCTCTCTGAGGGCAGGGATTTCTGTCACTGTGTCTCTATCCCCAGTGCCCAGCACTTAGTAAACACTTGCTGTTCACTTGTTTGCTTGATGTTCCTCTAGGTCAAGCCCCTGTGGCTAGTGAAGGGGTTTTGCTCCCTCCCTGTCCGGGTCAGCCTCTAGCCTCCCTCCCCTCCCCCTCCCCCATTCCTAAGCCCCTTCTGACCTGCCATCCCCTTTGGGTTTAAGAAGAGCCCCGCATGACTCAGGGGGAGCAGTAACCCTTGTGAAGCTCATTAAGTCTGGAACTTTCACCATTCACCCAGTTTGAAATGGGGGGCTCTTGACTTGTCTTGTCTGCAGCATAAGCCATGTGGCTCAATCATAGATCTCCCTTGGGATTGGTTGGTGGCCGCCTTCCCTGATGGCTGAGGTTGCCACGAGCCGTGAAGAGCTAAAACAACCTTGCACGAGAAGCCATTACTAATCACCTGCTGTGGACAGGGCTGTCCAACATGGCTGAGAATCTCGGCCTGCCTTGCTTTGTCTTCCAGTGTTTCTCAGGCCAAAGCCAGGGTTCATGTGCATTGGTTGAGGGAGATGGGAATTGTGCCCCTCCATCTCCCCACCCACATTAGAGCTCTTCTAAGAAGAGCAGCTCATTATTATCAGAGTAGAATTGCAGTTAGGTGGTGCAGTGGGTAGAGCGTTGGCCTTGGAGTTGGGAAGACCTGGGATTCCAATCCTGTCTTGAACACTTGCAATCCCTGACCTTGGACAAATCACTTTTCTGTGTCTTTTCATCTATCAGACAGAGGGGGAGGGGGAGGGAGAGGTGGCCTTGCTCTCCTCTGAAGTCCCTGCCATGAGTCCGTGACTCTGCAATGAGAAAGTGATTTGTTGATGAACAGGCAGACTTCAGAAAAACCTGGAAAGACTTGTGTGGTCTGATGCTGAGTGAAGCGAGCAGAACCAGGAGAACGTTGTACACAGTGACAGCTACGTTAAACTTAACCCTTCCCGGCAATACAAGGATCTAAGACATCTCCAGGGGCCTTGTGATGGAAAATGCTATCCACACCCAAAGAAAGAACTATGGAAGCCAAATTGCTAATTTTTTCTCTTCTGTTGAGTTTTGTTTCCTCTTTCTGATGGTTCCTCCTATTGGTTTTAATTTCTACTTACAATGTCACTAATGTGAAAATATGTTTAATATAAATGTAAATGTATAGCCTATATCAGATTGTGTGCCGTCTTGGGGAGGGTGGTGGGGAGCAAGGGAGAGAAAAATTTTAAACTCAAAAGCATATGGAAGTATTATTGATAAATCAAATTAAATTATTAAAAAAAAAAAAGAAAGTGATTTGTGGTCAGTGTTTAAGCCTCTTTCTGTATTCTGTTCTGTTCTCAGGGCTCCATATCATCCACAGCCTAGATGAGGTCGATTTCATACAGAATCTTGTGTTTTACGTTGAATCTGCTTATAAAACAGCTGTAAGTATCGATCTGGGAGCAGGCTCATTGGCCTAGTAACAGACCTTCCTATGTGGCCTTGTCCCAGCCCTGATGTTGACCTGCAGTAGGGAGGGGCCCCTGGGTTCTCAAGGGCTCTGCTGTGGAGGCCGAACACTAGCTGTTCCTGCCGGGTTGGCAAGCTTTCAGGCCTGGGCCTGGCCCCGACCTGAGAGACACACCACTAATAGTGTGTGGCCACCCCACCTGGCAGTCCAGGAAACAGTGCAGTTCTTTTTGCCAAGTGCAGCTAAGGCCTTTGCAACCATAAACATGTAGAAGGGTGAGCTCTCCTAGGCTGCCAGGGGCCCCCAGGGCGAGGTCATGTTGAAATCTCAGTGTCAGGCATCACCACGGCACAGCTAGACTCCTGGTTCTTTCCTTTGCTATGCTGGGCCCCTAATAGCTCCCGGGGTGGTTGCCCCTGGTTGTCCCCCTGACATGTGGTCTAGGGCTGTGTGCGTATCATTGGGGTTCTGCTGACCAGGCTGTTGTTTTCCTGGCAGGATTTTGGCATATGGGAACGTGGTGATAAGACCAACCAAGGCATCTCTGAGCTGAATGCGAGCTCTGTTGGGATGGCAAAGGTAATTCTCTTTAACTGTAATTAAAAATACAAAGTTTAAGAAAAAAAAAGAGAGACAGCTAGGTGGCGCAATAGATAGAGCTGCGGCCTTGGAGTCAGGAGGACCTGAGTTCAAATCCAACTTCAGACACATGACACTTACTACCTGTGTGACCCTGGGCAAGTTACTTAACCCCAATTGCCTAGCCAAAAAGTCAAAAAAAAAAAATACAAAGCTTGTCTTCTCTGGAGCTGAGCCCTGTTGGCTCACCATGTGTGCCAGGTATGGTGGCCCAATCCAGGAGGACAGGCTGTAGACTCAGTGAATTATAAGGGAGCCCAGAGACAAGCCACAGCGGACCACGAAGCCCCTCTCTGGCATCTGTGGCGAGGGGCAGCTAATGTCTGCCTAAATATCTTCAGTGTTCAGCGGGAATTTGGGATGGAATGGCAAGAGCTCTTCATTTGGAGGCAGTGCACTTGGGTATGTGTCTGGGCCTCAGTTTCCTCCTCTGTCAAATGAAGGAGTTGAGCTTGACAGCCTCATAGGTCCCTTCCAGCTTGCAGTCTGTGATCCTATGAACTTGCTGCCTCTGTGCTGATTCTGGTCCATTGCTGGGCAGCCCCATTTGGTAGAAAGTCCCTCATAGGACCTCAACTAAAAGGAGCATTAAAGGTTCCCCCTGTGGTGGCACTTCCTGGGTCCTCAAACTTACCCTCATATGTTACAGACAACCTGAGGGACAGATGTATACAGAGGAGCAAGGACCAGACCCTCATGGGCATGTGCAGACAGTGATTGGGGCCAGATGGATGGAGGGCCAGATGGGCGGACACATTGATTGTTAGAGAGACAGACAAGATGTAGATGTCACCACACAGATAGACAGGGAGATACAGAAGCAAACACATTGAAGGATAGGCGACAGAGAGACAGACAGAAAATCAGGGTACAGAGAGAGATAGGGGCCACAGTGCAGTGGTGCCACTGGAGCCCTGGACAGATATGAAGAGCATGAGGGGCCCCCAGACAGATGTGGTGACCCACAGTAGAGATAGATGGCTGACCCAGAAGAGGGGACACCCAGGCGCACACATCCCAGATGAGACAGGCACAGATAGAGTAAACAGAGGCAGATGGAGAACACAAAAGAGAAGTACATGGAGACACGCATTGATGGGACCACTCAGACAGATTGGGAGGGATTAGAAATGCAGAGATGGGGAACACAGACAGAAGGGAATAGACATATGGTGGCACACACATGGAGGTTGGGAAAACACAGAGATCATTGATTAGGGTGCATAGGTGAGCTCCCATGAACCAGTTCAGTTATCATTTCTATGTAGATGGTTCCCTGGTCTATGTGTCCAGCGCTCACCTCTCTCCTGAGCTCTAGCCTCGAATTTCCAACTGCCTTTTTTTGTTTGTTTGTTTTTTTGGCAAGGCAATCGGGTTAAGTGACTTGCCCAGGGTCACACAGCTAGTGAGTATCATGTGTCTGAGACTGGATTTGAACTCAGGTTCTCCTGACTCCGGGGCCGGTGCTCTATCCACTGTGCCACCTAACTGTCCCTCCAACTGCCTTTTGGCCATATCGACTTGGATATCCATAGACATCAAGCCCGTCTCTAGGCCCACATCACCAGTCTCCTGTTAAACATTTCCAGCTGGGGGTGCCATGTCCAAAGCAGAACTCTCCCCTCTTCCAGACTTCTCTCCTTTGGCTGAGGGCCCTGCCATCCTCTCGCCTCCCGGCTCTCCACTTTGGTCTCATCCTCTGCCTCTTCCCTCACACTCAGCACACGTCTCACCCCTCCTCTCCTTTCATGCTCTCACTCAGCTTGAGGCTTATCATTTCTCACCTAGAATATTGTACTAGCCTCTGCTTGGTTTCCTGGCCCCTTCAGGCTAGCCAGCACTCAGCTGCTAAAGTCATTTTCCTGAAGTGCAGGTCAGACCATGTTACCCTTCTCCCCCTTATTCTCTGCGTTCCAGTAGCTCCCTATTACCTCTAGGATCAAATATTTCTTCCTGTGTTTGACATTGAAAGCTCTTCACAACCTGGTTCCTGCCTGTCTTTCTTTCTTTAATAAATTTATTTATTTATTTTTAGTTTTCAACATTTACTTCCGTAAGATTTTGAGTTCCAAATTTTCTCCCCATCTCTTCCCTCCCTCCACCCTAAGACGGCATGTAAGTTGAAATAGGCTCCACATATACATTCATATTAAACCTACTTTCACATTAGTCATGTTATAAAGAAGAATTAGAACCAACGGGAGAAACCACGAGAAAGAAGAAACAAAAAAAAGAGAGAGCAGATAGTGTGCTTCCGTCTACATTCAGACTCCAGAGTTCTTTCTCTGGATGTGGACAGCATTTTCTATCATGAGTCTTTTGGAGATGTCTTAGATCCTTGCATTGCTAAGAAGGACTAAGTCTATCAAAGTTAGTCATCGCACAATGTGGCTGTTACTGTGTACAACATTCTCCTGGTTCTGCTCACTTCACTCAGCATCAGTCCATACAAGTTTTTCCAGGTTTTTCTGAAGTCCATCCGCTCATCATTTCTTATACCACAATAGTATTCCATTACATTCATATACCACAACTTGCTCAGCCATTCCCCAATGGATGGGCATCCCCTCAATTTCCAATTCTTGGCCACCACAAAAAGAGCTGCTGTAGATATTTTTGTACATGTGGGTCCTTTTCCTGGTATTCAAAGGGTATGCAGAGTTTTATAGCCCTTTAGGCATAGTTCCAAATTGCTCTCCAGAATGGTTGGATCAGTTCACAACTCCACTAACAATGCGTTAGTGTTCCAATTTTCCCATATCTTCTTTAGCATTTATCATTTTCCTGTTTTGTCATGTTGGCCAATTTGATAGGTGTGATGTGGTACCTCAGAGTTGTTTTGATTTGCATTTCTCTAATCAGTAGTGATTTAGATATGTTTAATAGGAATATATTTGTAGAGCCTATATCAGATTGTATGCTGTCTTGGGGAAGGAGGTGAGGAGGAAGGGGGAGAAATTTTAAAAATCAAAAGCTTACGGAAGTGATTGTTGAAAACTAAAATAAATTAATTAAATATCAAAAAAGTGATTTAGAGCATTTTTCCATATGACTATGGATAGCTTTAATTTCCATTTTGCATTTTGCAATGTTCTCTATCTCTTGTTTGGTCATAAATTTTTCCCTTCTCCATAGATCTGGTAGGTAAACTATTCCTTGCTCTCCTCGTTTGCTTACAGTATCAGTCTTTCTATCTAAATCATGTACCCATTCTGACTTTATCTTGGTCTAGGGTATAAGATGTTGGCCTGGGCCTAGTTTCTGTCGTACTATTTTTCCAGGGTTCCCAGCAATTTTTTGCTATATCGTGATTTCTTATCCCAGAAGCTGGAGTCTTTAGATTGAACAAGTAGTAGACGACTATAGTTATGGACTGTTGTGTCTTGCATACCTAACTTTTTCCATTGATCCGCCACTCTATTTTTTGGCCAGTACCAAGGAGTTTGGAGGATTGCTGCTTTATGATGAAATTGAAGACCTGGTACAGCTAGGCTACCTTCCCTTGCATTTCTTTTCATTAGTTCCCTTGATATTCTGGACCTTTTTTTTCTTCCAGATGAATTTTGTTATTATTTTTTTCTAGGTCTATAAAATACTTTTTGGTAGTTTGATTGGTGTGGCACTGAATAAGTAAATTAATTTAAGTAGAATTGTCATTTTTATTATATTAACTCGGCCTACCCATGAGCAAATGATGTTTTTCCAGTTGTTTAGATCTGACTTTATTTGTGTGAAAAGTGTTTTGTAATTGTGTTCATATAGTTCCTGGGTTTGTCTTGGCAGGCAGACTCCTAAGTATCTGATAATGTCTACAGTAACTTTAAATGGACCTTCTCTTTCTATCTCTTGCTGCTGGGCTTTGTTATTAACATAGAGAAATGCCGATGCTTTATGTGGGTTTTATTCCTACCTGTCTTTCTAACTCTCTTGCACTTGACTCTCCTGCTCACACACTGGGTCCCAGCCACACAGGCCTCCTTGCTGTTCCTCACATACAACATCTCACTTTCTCGACTGCATGCCTGGCATGCTCTCCCTCCTCATCTCCAAGGCTTGGCATCCTTTCAGGCATCACCTTCTTCATGAGCCCTTTTCATTGTCCCCAACTGCTAGGCCTCTTTCCTAAAACTATCTTGCATTCGTTTTGCATATATTTTCTTTCTTTTTTTGTAAATAGTATTTTGTTTTTTTCCAATTACATGTAAAGATAGTTTTCAGCATTCATTTTTATAAGATTTGGAATTCCACATTTTTCTTCTCCCCTCCCCAAGACGGCGAGCAATCTGATCTAGGTTATACATGTCACATATATTTTCTGCTTACTCGTCTGTGTATATGTTGTTCTTCCATTTGAATGTAAACTCCTTCAGGGCAGGGGCTATTCCACTTTGTACCACCTGTCCTGGCACATAGTAAGCGCTTAAATGCTTGTTGATTGATGGATTCATTGAGTCACATATTTCTAGAGGCTACCCTGAAAAAAAGGCCCAGAGCCCTGTCCTCTGAACCTTCCTCCATGTGCACGCCCAGAGGAAGGGCAGCAGAGATATTGTCAAGGACGCAGCTGTCACTGCCGTGGTGACAGAGAGACCTCAGACAGCTTGCAACATGGCCTAGCTCATAAGACTTCTCCACACACACACACACACACACACACACACACACACACGCACACACACACACACACACACACACACACACACACATATGACACAGCAACATGAGAAAGCCACCCAAAGACAGTGCTGGACTGTCAAGAAGAGGGATCTCCTCCAACTTGTTCTCTCTGTCAGACCTGCAGTGTGGTGGTGGGCCTGCCTCGAGCTTCTGGGTCTCCCTGAGGCAGTGCTGGAGGCTGATGGGAAGCCCTTGGGGCCTCCTGGGGATGGATGGGTCATCTGCTTGGCTTCAGTCCCATGTCTGCTGCAGCATGCCAGGCCAACGAGCACCCGAGGCCCCCAAATGGGGCATCTGATGGCTCTGCGTAGGCCATTCTCTGGGCTTTGGTCGGATTGCCCCTTTGGTATAATAATCCTTTTTATTTTTAAAGGGATGCACACTAATAGCATTGCTCACTCACTCATTCATTCTATAGCTGTTCTTTAAATGCCCTCTCTGGTGCAGAGTGCCAGACAGCATGGAGGGAGATGCAAAGCTTATGTCAAAAAGAGTCCTTGCTTTCAACACACTGTCTAGCCACAGAGAACGGTCGAAGACTTGAGATGCTGCTGCGTCCATACTCAGAGTGTGCGAAGGACAGTGGGGGGTAGAGAGAGGCAGATGTGTGGGTGCTCAGGTGTGTGTTTGTGTCTTTGCTTGCTGCTCACAGGCAGCCCTGGAAGCTTTGGATGAACTGGACCTGTTTGGTGTGAAGGGCGGGCCCCAGTCCGTAATCCATGTCTTGTCAGACGAGGTCCAGCACTGCCAGGTAAGAGAACAGAAGCTCCACTTTGCTCTGCCCTGGCTTGAATCAGGCCACATGCTTGGCCCAGTGAGCTTTGGTGATGGGGTGTGGGCCTGTTCCCTCGCAGAGGGCCCGCCACCATTTTAAGTGGGGCCTCAGCCCCTGGGCTAACTGGGAACAGCATTTCCAAAGCTTTTCCTTTTCTAGATTGGCAGAGTATGTGCTGAGCTGCACTTGGTGGTGGCCCCAAAGCCAAGGAAAGGAGACGATCCTGGCATCACGCTAGAGCTGATGTAGGGCTTGGGGCATTCAGGGTCCTCTCTGCTGGGACAGGGACTTGGGCTTTTTAGATACCGCCCAACGAGGACTTCAGAACATGATGTGGAATACGGCTTTGGGGATTAAGTCTGTAGTTCATGGCGTAGACATTGACCTTTGAAGTTATTTTAAAAAGTCTTTGCCCATTTGGGAGAAGGCCCATGTGAGATGCTGGCAGCTATGGTTTCCCTTGTCTAAGCAGGTTCCCAGTTGTTTGAACAGTTGCTCATGGGCTAATAGGGCTTGAGGGATCTGGAAGTTCTGTGAGTACAAAGGGTGACTTCTGTAGGGAGCGTAGGTCCCAATCTGGCCCTTCATGCTGAAATCATCAGGCTCGGGTCTTATCCTTGGCTGCCTCGTACCCCACAGGGTAGACTAGACTCCATGTTTGGGAACAGGGGCTGTTGAGTCTGGCCAAACTCGTCAGTGGAGGCAAAGCCGGCCTCTCAGTTGGCCCTCTCAATGTCGCCTCCTTCAGGCCTCCCCGGCGGGCCTTGCAAGAGGACTACTCTTTGGAATGAACCTTCCAAAGCAAAGGGGCTTGTTGTATGCATCCTGAAGACTTGCCTGATAGGGGCCCTCCCTTTCTTCTCTCTTAGTCTATCCTCCATTCCATGCTGCCTCGGGCCTCAATGTCCAAAGAGGTAGATGCCAGTGTCCTTTCAGTGATTTCCTTCCCAGCATTTGCAGTAGAGGACAGCCAGCTGGTGGAGATTACAAAGCAGGAAATAGTCACCAAGCTGCAGGTGAGTCACTATCCGGACCCTTCTCTCATTCAGAGTGCCGGCTTTAGGGAGACGCGCCAATATGTGGCATGCTGGGCATTGGTCTGCTTCGGATTCAGCGAGTGTTGGCCTCTCAGTTCGTTTCTAAAATGGGACCGGTGGGGAGACACACTCCTCCCTTGGCTTCAGGAGCAGAACGCCCCATGCTCTCTGATGTATAGTTGTTCTTTTTAATGACGGACTGTTCAGTGTGGAGGTTCTGGGAGACCAAAGGAATCAAACAGTTGGATTATGGGATGGAATCCTGGAAGAGACCTCAGCTCATCTGCTCCAGCCCCATTGTTTTACAGAAGGAGAAACTGAGTCCAAAGAGGGCACATTGAGTGGCAAGTAGTACAGCGAAGGTTTTGCACCCAGATCTTTGGCTCCAAATCCAAGGTCCTTTCATTGTCCCCATCAGACGTCACTGAGGCAGCTAGGGGGAACAGTGTATGAGCACTGGACCTGGAGTCAAGAAGACCTGAGTTCAACTCCAGCCTCAGACACATTTACTAGCTGTGGGACCTTGGCAAGTCATTTCACCACTATCTGCCTCAGTTTCCCCATTTGTAAAATGGGAATAATAATAACACCTACCTCCCAGGGTTGTTGTGAGGATCAAATGAGATAAGATGTGCAAAGCACTTAGCATAGTGCCTGGCACATAGTAGGTGTTTAATAAATGCTTGTTCCATTCCATGTCCAATCAAGATCTCTAGTCTGTACCACTGGGCCCCGATAGGTCAGGGATGGGGCTGTAGAGAGACCGACTGTTCTCCATGATTATAGCTTGAACAGTATGGGCAAACAGGAAAGGCCCTGAAGGCCATAGAAAGGCTGTAGGGGCAGGAGCTAGGCCTTTCTGGGCCCAGGGGCTCTGGCAGAGCCCAAAAAGCAGGCTCCTTCAGCTCTCTGGCCAGAGACTTGATCTGTTCTTTTGCCACGCTGAAATCACCAGCTCGGTGGCCAAGCTGAGTGTCCGGAGCTCCATGGTTCTTCAACTTGAGCTTTCCTTAGTTATTTTGAAGTGGTCTTGTGCCCAGTACTTGGCTGGGTCTGCAGAGGGACCTCGGATTCTGATGCTCTCTTTTCGTCTCGTTCCTACCCCCAGGGTCGTTACGGCTGCTGTCGCTTTCTCCGGGATGGGTACAAAACCCCCAAAGAGGTGAGTTGCTTTTAGCGTGCCTTCCCCCACCCCTCCCTGAGGCCAGCAGAGCTCGGTCAGTGCCAAGGATTTGGGGGGTACCCGTTTCAGTTAAGCTACCTCCCCTAGGTTACAGACAACCGTGTGATTTTTTTCCAGAGCTCACGAGGACTGAAAACTTGGTTGGTTAGTGCCTTTCTTGAATTCGGCTGCCAGCAGTGGCAGGGCCCCCTGAATTGGTGGCTAGAGTCTAGAAGAGGCAGATGCAGGCAGCCCTCTGCTGTGCCAGCCTTCTTCTTTGCCAGCTGACAGCTGGCTGTGGGCTGAAGGCTCCAGAGTTTTATTTCACTTGCCTTAAAGCCGAGTTTCTATTTCGGAGTCCTAGAGAGAAGCTAGGACCCCTTCTGAAGGGCTGAGGGCATTGAGGGGCTAGGCCAGGGTATGCTCCCTGGCAGTGCTGAATGTCTGCAGGCTCACGGCTCTGCTGGCTTTTTCAAGTCAAGGAGGGCCCGGCGATGTGGCCCGAACTCTTTGTGCCCTTCCGCTGCTGCCTGACTGTCTCACCTCCCCTTTCCTTCTGTCTCCTTGCCAGCTGCCTTCCAGCTTGTCTCCATCACCAGATCCCATGGCCTTCCTGAGGCTTCCTCCATCCCCAGATGCCCACTAGCTTGACGACCCCGGGCATGTCAGCAGCTCTAACCCGCAGTTCCTCATTGGGCCCTTTCAGCTCTGCGTCTGTGATCTTTATGTACCATTTCACACAATTAATCCTTCACATCCTACCCCTCACTTTTCGAGACTCTCACCCTTTGTTTCTATGACACTGCACTCATTTACTTTGACCCCATTGGGGGCAGGGTGGCAGCAGCGGCAGCAGTGGCAGAATCTTCCTAGAATCCTCTCCTTAATGTTCTGTCCTTCCTCCACAGTCATTCAATACAGCTAGTCTCAGGGTCATTCCACCTAAACGTTGATTTCCAGCCCTGACCTCTGTCTTCTACTCCAATCCTGCCTTTTCAGTGATCTAATAATGGGTACTTTCTCTTGGATATCTTGAAGCTCAGCATCTTTTCCACCTACACTCACTTCCCTCCCTATATTTCCTGTCTTTCTGGGTGGCCCCCTTTGGATAGCAAGCTTGGAGTTGACTTTGCTTCCTTGCTAGAAAGCTTCAGGTAGGGACATGAACAAGTGGCCTGGCCTCCACACTATCAATACCGGGGATACGCTGTGCCTCCCTCATCTTCTACATCAGAACTGACGTGTAGAGAGCACTTCGCAAATATGATCTGGAGGGTAGGGGGTATTATTAGCCCCATTTTACAAATGGAAAGACTGAGAGGTGACGTGACTCAGGTTACACAGCTTGTCGGTGTCAGAGGTGGTATCCAGGACCAAAATATCCATCTACCCTTTTTTTTAGCCAACGCTCTGGTGTCCGAGTGAGGGCCAGGCTGTCAGGACCATGGGGCTAATCGTCAGCATTCCATGACCTCTGACCCAAGCATGCGCTAGGGAACAGAAAGAAGTTCAGAAGGTGTTGGCAAGGGCACAGATGTCCCTGACTTGGTAATGCAGCCATCATCAGCCAGCCCTTTGGTGTTTTCTGTGCCTAAGACCTCCAGCTGCAGACAGGAGAGCACAGTGCCCAGGGCTTGGCATGTAACACACATGTAACACACATGTAACACAGGAACAGTTGTATGACTCCCCAGAGTTTCCCTGCCTTGCCGCAAAAGGCTTTTGTCTGGCCCTCCTGCTCTGTCATAATCAGTTGACAGCTGTGGTGGCATGTGCTCCAAAGGCCTGGGTTCTCCTTGGTTTGTTTTTTTGCTTGCCAACAGGCAGTCTTAGAGTGGGAAAAAGGCCGCTGCCGTCCTGTGGGCTGTTGGCGGGGGCTGCTACCTTTGTGCGCCCACCGCTCTCTGTGCTTCTGCCCTGCTTCTCTGATCATGGTGACACATGCCAGGCCTTGCTTTTTGCAGGATCCTCATCGTCTATACTATGAGCCAGCGGAGCTGAAGCTGTTTGAGAACATTGAGTGTGAGTGGCCTTTGTTCTGGACCTACTTCATCCTGGATGGCGTCTTCAGTGGCAACGTGGAACAGGTATGCTGGCCTCCAGTTGGGAGTGGCTGAACGTCTTCCCCGCTAGGACAGTGCTGAGATCCTGCTTTCGCTAGGACAGTGCTGAGATCCTGCTTTCCTCTTCAGTCAGTGACTGGACTGAGTCTCTGTCCCAGTGGGAGGTTCTCAGGGATCAGGCTGACCTGTCTAGAGAGCATTTGGAGGCCCCGGCAATCATAGCTGAATGGGATCTTAAGAGACCGTCGAATCCACCCCCCTCACTCTTCAGGTGAGGCCAGTGAGGCTCAGACGGGACGTGAGCCACAGAAAATCACACAGCAGGAAGCCACAGAGCAGGGCTTTGAACCCAGGCCCCTGGCACCAAACCCGGGCTTCTTCCCACTTCACCACAAGGTCTCTGCTCGTGTCTGATATTAAGGCAATATCAACAGGCTTGTTCACTCCAGCCCACTGAGCACCTGCTCTATGTCAGTCCTCATGCTAGGCCTTGGAGAGACAGAAGCCCAAAAGAACTCTCAGTGTTTGCTCATCTGTCTGTTTGGCCTTGGGGTGTGAAGGAGTCCCATGCCCAGCTCTGTCTTCCTTGCCACCGCAATTCCTGCCCTTATGCTAGGGGACTGATGTTCCCTCAGACATCCTAACTCCCAGTTCTGCGGTCTCGTCACCTTCCTCCTCTTCACCTTGGACACACCAGGGTAATCACGGCCCTGATTTCATCAACCCCGACGTGTTCCACTTCCATAATCAAGAACCCTGGGATTCCTTTATCAGATCTGAACCTTCTATCATTCGATCTCTCCCTCTGCCTTATGATCTCTAACCCCGTTTTTCATCCTCAACCGTGACTTCCAGTCCCTCCATCACTTAGCTCTTTCCCAGGCCATCACCCTCGTACCAGCTACGCTTCCCTCTCCTCTCAGTCTCCACCTGTTAGTAGAGCAGTTCAACTGTGCACAATCCTCTACTCTTGCATCAGTCAGTCAGTGAACATTTATTAAACACCTGCTGTGTGCCAGGCACTGTGCTAAGTGCTGGGGCTACAAAGAGAAGCTTACTCATTCCCTTCTCCTGTCACCACTCGTACTGTTCTAACCTGTGATCATTTGCTCGATTACAATTCCTCTCACTCACTTTGAAACCCCCGAAGTCTACCTTCTGACCTCCTCATCCAGCTGAGACCACTGTCTCCAGTATCACCAGCTGTCTATTGGGTATTTCAAACCGGATGTCCTGTAGCAATCTCAAACTCCACGTGTTTTGTCCAAAACCGAACTCGTATCATCTTTTCCCCAAAGCCCTCTCCTCTTCTCAGCTTTCTTGTGACCGATGAGTGCTCCACCATTGTCCCAGCTCTCCTGGCTCCCAAGCTGGGTGTCACCTGCACTTGTCACTCTCTTCCCTCACATCCAATCTCTTGTTAAATCTCGTCACTTCTGTCTTCACGATATACCTTGAGTCCTCCCCCTTCTCTCATCTGATCCTCTTCACTCCTCTCCTGGGCGGAGGACTTCTCCACCTCAAGCTTGTCCTCCTTCCAAACCATCCTCTACTTCTTTGAAAGCAGAGGTCTGACCACATCAGCCTCCCTCTTCCCCCTCCCACGAACACTCAGTCAACGCCAGTGGCTGCCTGTTATCTTCAGGACCAAACAGCGTCTCCAGGTTTTCCTAACCCCGCTCCTTCGAACTTTCCCAGGTCCTCCTGTGGGGGCATGATCCAGGCTGTGTGCCTCAAGACACAGCTGCTTATCTCCCGCCTTGGAGCCTTTGTCCTCGCTGTCCCTCATGCCTGGCAAGCCATCTCTCTTCACTTCTGTCTCTCCCAATTCCTATTTTCCTTCAAGGCCCAGTTCAAGCACGGCCTTCTCTCCTGAAGCCTTTCTCGATCCCTGCCTTCCCCATCACCTCTTTTGTGTATGTTTACATGCTTCGGGGTGATCTTAGGCCGCCCGGTGGGACAGCGGATGAGGGTTGGCCTTGGAGTCAGTGTGCACGGGGATAGTAGCAGCGGCTTTCCGAGTTCGTTGCGAGAAGCGGTTGAGGTGACGTGGAGAACTCTCAGCAAACCTTCAGGTGCTACCTAAATGCTGGCTGGGATTACTGGTATTTCTTGAGCTGATGTGAGGGGCTTGAGGGCAGGGGCCATTTCACTTCCCTCTTTGTGTTCCTGTGCCTGGCATGGTACATGACACACTGATTGCCCCTGGTCCCGAGAGCTGTCCCCCTTGTGCCCAGTGCCCTCTGCCCAGCACTAGAGGAGAGGGAAGGCTCGCAGAGCTCAGTGGAGGACACTTGGCAAATATTTTCAGATAATGATGATTTCCCACTAACACTCACTGGGATCATTCCGTGATGCTAGTAATTAGCATTGCTAGAGTTTCCAACATTCTTGGCAGACAGCCGTGAGTCCTTACAAGATGGCAGTCTGCAAGCAAGCATGTGAGATGAGGCGAGTGGTCTTCTTTGGTCCAGGAGCTCAGGGCTCTAAGGGCCCAGGTGGGCCAGGTACCTGCTTCCCCATCCTCCTGCTGGCCCCCAGCAGGCTCTATTCCCTTCAGCTTCCCCATGGCGCTCCCCCTGCCCTTCTGGCTGCATGGCCTCTGCTCTCACTGCTTGAGTACCCAGCCCTTGGGCTAGGCTTTGGCTGTAGTGCTTTGAGCACCTCAGGTGACTGCCCGCCAGGCCCAGGTCTTCAGGTGCTCTGCTCTCGGCTGTTCGTGGCCTAGCCGCAGCAGGCCCCCCCCATCCTTTGATTCTGCCCACCTTGCTGCCCTCGGTCCAAGGTGAAGCCCTCCATGCCCTCCTGGGGAGGAACCCTAAGGTGTTCCCCTGCCTTGCTCTCATTTGCAGGTGCAGGAGTACCGCGAAGCTCTTGAAGGGGTCCTTATCAAGGGCAAGAATGGGGTTCGCCTTCTGCCTGAGCTCTACAGCGTCCCTCATGAGAAGGTGAGCATAGCACAGCAGAAGAAGGATGCCCTGAGGCCCCAGGAATGAGCCTGTGCTCTTATCGTTGGCAGGTTTTAAGGACAGCCACAGAGACTGTGTCTCAGGGCCCGAATTTTGGGGGCAGGCATCCATGGGGAGGCAGGGCTGGGATGATGTGTCTAAGAAGCTGCCAGATTTGGCAGCTGCCTCTTATACCAGGGGTTGGTGGCCTAGGCCAGGGCTAGCTGAGGCCCCATCCATGTTCTGCACAGACAATGCCTGGGGCCCCTTGCCCTGTGGGACCCAGTTGGAGCACTCTAAGGCCTGAGGAGACATTCTTTCCTTTCCCTGGAGGTACATGGAAGGGGCTCTGGGTTCGTTGTTCCTGTATTCAGCCCCTTGGCCAGGAAGACGGAGCTCAAACCTCCCAGAACTCTGGGATTGTCTCCTGTCTCTAACATTTGAAATTGCTGCTCTTGTGGCTTCTTGTAGGTTGACGAAGAGTACCGGCATCCTCACACTGTGGACCGAGTTCCCATGGGCAAGCTGCCTCACATGTGGGGCCAGTCCCTGTACATCCTGGGGAGCTTGATGGCAGAGGTAAGAAGAGCCCTGATCCCCTCAGGAGTTTTCACATCCAGGTGCGCCATGTCCAAGGCAGGCATTGGGCGTGTGGCGGAACAAGCAGGGCAGGGCAGAACAGGGTCAAAGGACAGGGCAGACGCCCGAGGAGGACCAGTCAGAGGAAGTGGCCATGTGTAGCCAGGGCGGACCTGTGATGGAGGGATTAGCTTTGTCGTGCTTTACCAAGATGGGCAGACTCAAGGTCAGCAACGGGGAGCCTAGCTTCTTTGGTTAGGCTTGCGTCAGGAGAAATTTCCTCCCCATGCCAGCCATCCCACAGTGGGAAGGGCTCCTTGGAGTGGTGAGTTTGTCCTTCCTGGAGGTCTTCTGGTAGAGGCTCCTGGGCCCTCAAGTTAGAGGGGGGATTCCCTTTAGAGGGCTGGGGCCTCTCCCCCTTGGTAATGCTGTGATGCTAATGGATGGTGACATTTGTCTTTCCAGGGCTTCAGTTTGAAGCTCTCTGGAGTGAGGCCCTTTCTTGGGAAAATTATCATTATTCTTAGTAGTAATGACAACAATAATAATATTAATAGTGTGAATTTCTGTGCCACTGGGGGTTTGTAGAGCCCTTTCCAAAGCCCTCTTGTCCCGCCCGAGTCTCACACCCGACCTGTGGGGCAGGTACTACTCTCATCTTCATTTTTGAGTTGAGGTGACGACTTGCTATTTCTTGAAGGGCTTCTAGAGAAGACTGCTGAGATTCCTTGCCCCTGCTTCGAGGCTGGGGGAGCTGAGCCTGGCCCTAGGTTCTCAGGGACCTGGGGCAGCTTGGAACTGGCCTCCTTTATGTTTGTCATGAACTCGGAGCCGTCATGAATGTGGAGACAAGACCCAAGGCGTCTGTGGGAGGGTTGTGACTGCCGCTCATGGTGATTATTTAGGCAGGCCTTCCCAAAGTAGGTGAGCCTTCCATTTGAGTTTGGAAGGAATGGAGGCCATGGGAGAGGCGTGGAGGTGGGGCACTGCTGACAGGGAACAATGACAGGGCAGGAGGGGAGGCAGGCCCAGAGCTACATTTCATCTTTGGAACTTGTGGCCCATAATAGAAGCCTCATTCATGCTTGTTGGATTGAACCCGTCTGGGGTGGCCCCACCATCCTTCGCGTGACTCTGACGGCCTCAAGACCTCTCGCCCAAGTATTGCTTCTCTGAATCCTGTCAGTTGTGTGTTCTCTCCCCCCCTCCCCTTACTTGAAATACGTTTTGGATTTTGTTAACTGTGTTCATTGTGTTTCCCTCCAATTGAATGGAAGCTCCTAGAGATCAGGGATTGTTTGATTTTGATTTTGCACAGTGCCTGCCATACAATAGGTGCTTCATAAAACCTTATCGAGTGAATGAAGAAAAAAACGCTTACCTAATGCTTACATGGAAACAGTTATATTCTCAGACAGTCTTCCCAGAATGCCTTAGGGCATCCAGCCCAACCTCTACCGACCTCTGCTTTTGTCGTGTATCCCTTCCAGATCATCCTCCATCCTGCCAGGGATGGGGCCTCACTGCCCCCAACTCACATTCCAGGTCTTCTGCCAATGTAGAGGCCCTTTCACATGGGCCCACAAGCAGCGCATGTGCCTCCTCTGGCTTTTCTTTTAGCTCAGTGTCCCCAGATCCTTTGGCTAATTGGGTTTGTGTCCTCTCACCATACAAGCCTCTGGTTGTCACTATCCCTTCTACCAGGTGGCTGAGGGCATTAAGGTTCTACAAACAATCTCTTCTCAGAGTAGCTATGGACGCTAGGTGGCGCACCTGCTCAAGCCCTATTTTTGGACTTAGGAAGACCTGATTTGGAATTCCATCTCAGACCTTTATTAGCTGTGTGACTCCCAGCAAACTAGCCAATCAGTCAAGCATTTATTCAGTGCCTGCTGTGTGCCAGGCACTGGTCTACACTGGGGATACAAAAAAAAGTAAAAGATAGTCCCTGTCTCAAGGAACTTAAAGTCACTTAGCATCTCTCAGTCTCAGTTTTCTCATCTGGAAAATGGGGATAGTATTAGCACTTACCCCACAAGGTTGTTGTGAGAGTCCAGTTAGCTAATATAGGGAGTCCCCAAAGTCTCAGTGTAGTCTTAAGCTTGGGACATCCTGGATATGTAAGGTGATTGTGCAAGCCTTAAAGTACAGTATAAGTGTTAGGTATTGTTGTTATTACTCTTATTATTATCATCCCTGCTTTATAAATGAGGAAACTGAGGCTCAGAGAGATGATGCGGTCACACACTCTGTGAGTGTCAGAGGTGGGCTTTGAACTAAGGTGTCACAGGCTTCTGATTTCCCCTGGGCCCTGCTGCCTCCCAGCTGTAATGGACACCACAAGGCAGTCTGTGAGCCTGGGCTTGACAACTGCCGGACAGTCATGTGACACTAGATAGCTGCTCATTCCAAAGCCCTTAAGGCTCATCTGTGGGGCATTGCTGCCTGAGGAACAGTTTAAGTAAACAGTAAGGAGCTAGGCTCTAAGCTGACATGTGCCATGGCCCTAGTCCCTCCCCTTTGAACCCCAAGCTTTGGCTTCATTTCTTCTTGTGCTTAGGGTAGAGCAAATAGCAGTAATGACCAGTAAAGGGAAAAAAAAGAAAATGGCCCATCTGAGGATATTTTCTGCCGAGGGCTCCCGAAGGCTTGTCTGGGGGAGGTGAGGGCCAGAACCCGGGCTTCCAGGGAAAGCTGCTCTCCTCTGTGGAAGAGTCTTATCTATGGCCTTCAGGCTTTAAGGCCCATTTAAAAGGCGGGGTTGCTCTTTTCTCACTTTGCACACAAAAAATAGATTGAAATTCCCTCAAGCAAAAATGTCAATGGCCCTAGCCCATTTGATGATTTAGAAACATCACTGGTGGCTTTTGTTCATCTGCTTCATTTTTTGCTAAACCTTCTCTGTATCCTAGGCCCTTTGACAGCCTGGGGAAGCCTATGGACTCCTTCTCAGCATAAGATGTTGAAATGAAGCAAAAAATGAAATGCGTAAGGTTACAAAGGAAACCAGTTCTGTTGAAATACAGCTATCAAAATGTTCACCAAGGCCAGGCCATGGGCTCCAGGTTGGGAACCCTTCACTAACCCGGCTTTCCCCACCAGAGAGCCTTCTCCTGGAACAAACAGTTTACAGAGAGAGAGACAAAAAGCACTTTGGGCAAACTAAGCAACACGTGAATGGAGCGTGGGCTTCCCATCCCGAGGCCTCCACTTTTGCCTTCTCGTGGCTCTTCTTGGACAGGGAAGGAAACAAGGGCCTTCCACGTGCCAGGCCAGATGCGGTCATTAGAATTGTGCAGCACTGGTGTTCTTGTCTCTCATTTCCTATTTCCATTATTGTAGGCATCGGGTATGTTGTTTTCCTGGTTCTGCTTACTTCACTACATAAGTTTACCAAGTCTTCCCATGCTTCTCTGTGTCCTGATGCCTTTTTATTCAACTTAAAACCAAGCTGTGCCCTCCCCCCCCCCCGCATTTCCCCAGACCTTCAAGGCTCTAGCCCTGTACCCCCAATCTAAAGGGGGGGAGACTTCCCTGAGACTATCAAACTTGGGGTTTCTGCCAGAAAGCATCATAAAGTATCATTTTCTATAAAAGATAGGTTGAGCCCGCCCATTGGGTGAGGAGGGTCCTACTCTCCCAAGACAGTGACGTTCACTCAGCCTTTCCTTTGGGATGAACATCTTCCTACTGAACCTTTTCTGGGTGTGCCAACAAGGCTGTACGGGATAGCTTAAAAGGACCTCCCACCCAGAGCTTTGGGGCCAGGTGAGCAGAGAGATGGGACTGAGCAGAACAGGAAGAGGAGGGAGGAACACATTGCTTTTTCCACAATTAGATTTTTCTTTCTGTCTTTTAATTGTATCCAGTCCTCTCCCAGAGAGCCATCCCTTATAACAAAGAATTTAAGAATAAAGAAAAAGAAGAAGAAGGGGGAGAAAGTCAGCAAAAGTGAACAGCACAACAGCAAATATCTGGCCCCGTAGGCGAGGTTACACACCCGTGGGCCCCCTCTGCAGGGGTGGCAGGGAGCTGGCTGCTCTTTGGGGTCAGGCTTGCTTTTTGTAATTTCACAACATTCATTTTCCTTCTTGTTTTTGGTTCCATTTTTTCATTTATTTATTTTTTGTATATTTAAAGATTTAAAAAATTAATTTTATTGATAACTTTTGTTTTCATATCACCTAAATTTCTCCCTGTGTCCTTCCCCATTGCTCGCTGCAGAGAGCCATCCTGTATAACAAAGAATTCTTTTTTTAAAGGTGAATAAGAGAAAAATACAGTCAGCAAAATCAATGGCTACTTTGAAAAAATCCGACATCGGATACAGTGTGTCACGCTCATCCGCCTTCTGCCCCTGGGGTGGGCAGCTGGGGGGCTGGAGTCCTGGGGGGGCTGTTACCTTCTTGGCTCTGCTTGCTTCACGTCACCTCAGGTCACATGTTCATCACATTCATCATTTCTTTTAGCACAGACATGTTCAATTATATCCATGTGCCATTCCCCACCCAACAGGCACCTTTGTTTGCGGTTCTTTGCTACCACATAAAAGGGCTGCCAAAAGTCTTTTGGCATGTTGGGGACCTTTGTTTTTGTCAGGTACCTCCTTGGGGTATGTGCCTAGCGGGGGAAGCTCAGGGTCAAAGGGGATGGGCCACTTTCTCAGCATAATTCCAAATGGCTCTACCAACAGGGCATCGGTACCCGTGTCTTTGCACAAGCTCATCGACACCGACTGATCTTACCTTTTGTCATCTTTGCCAGTTTGCTGGCTGCCAAGTGACTTGGGGCCTTCTGCACCACAGTTGTTAATACTTGGCATTTCTTCTTTTGAGACCCATTTATTCATACCCTTTAAGCATGTCACTTTTAGGCATGTTCACTCTATATATTTTGGGTTCCATATCTTTGTCGGAGACATTTGGTACAAAGGTTTGGTTTGGTTTTTCCTCCCCAGTCGATGACTTCCCTTCTTATCCTGGCTGGCTTAACTTATTTGTGCAGCAGCTTTGCAGTATGGGTAATCAAAATGATCTCTTTTGCATTTTGTAATGGCCTCTGGCCTTCGTTTGCCGTGGGTAGTATGTGATCTGCTCCTCTTCTCCTTTTTAAATGGTGTGGTCTCAAATATTCAGGGCATGTATCCATTTTGGGTTTATTGTGGAATATGGTGTAAGATGTTGGCCGATGCTTTCCAGTTTTCCAAATAGAACTTATTAAAGAGGGAGTTCTTTCCAAAGTATCAAACTTTGGGTTATAGAGTTCCATGATTTCTAATTCTCTCTTGTGTAGGCTGGTCCATCGATCTACTTCTCTATTTTTAAACTAATACCAGATGGTTTGGATGGCTGCTGCTTTGGAATCTAGTTTGAGGTCTGGAAATGTTATTCCCCCTTCAGTCCTCCCTTTTTCAATTTTCATTTGATTTTTGTTATTTTCTCTTGACATCCTAGAACTTTTGAGTAACACAATTCTTCAGGGGAGATTAAGTCCACTGCACCATATGTGTTGCCACAACTCCTAAGCCCAAGGTGACTTGCTGAGCAGGCGACACGGCATAGAGAGAGACAAATGAGAAATCAGCAGGACAGAGGAGCTGAATTATGGAGGTTGGCGCTGTGAGCTTTGCAACCAGATAGAACATGTCCAGGACAGGCTGGAGTCTGAAACAAAACTAAGCTCTTGGAGAAAAGAACTTGGCAGAAAGTCATGAGATCATAGGTTTGGAGTTAGAAGGGAGCTGTTCCGGGCTGGGCCTGACTCAGGCCAGGGCCCTAATTGGGAATGTTTGATATGGAAACAAAATTAGATATTGCTAGGTCCCTCAGTATCTAATTAAGGGAGCTTTACTTCTGCCTTAGCTAGGAAAGGGTATTCAACAGGGATCGAATTAAGCTCCTCTCCCGTTATCCCCGCCCATTATAATTGCCTATTATGACCTTTCATGCGGAATTCCTGGAAGTGATTTCAATGGCCTGAGCCTTTAGGCCTCTTTAGGCTAATTGAGTTTCCATATCTTTTAAGGAAAACTGACTTGCATGGGGAAGGAAAGGGTAAGAGGGGGTGAGGATATATTGCTCCACCATAGGAGCTTGGCAGTCATCTGGTCCAGATGAAGAAACTGAGGCACAGAGAGGTTGTGACTTGCCCAAGGTCACAAGGCGATAAGCAGCAGAGGGGGTATTCCAACCCCCATTCTCCTTCTGTCCTGCCACACCCAACTGGGGCATTCTCACCCTGCCTCCATGTGGTGATCTCGTCCCAAGGTACCGGCCAATGCAAGTTTGTCCCCATTGGCTAGTGGCAGAGAGGAGAGTTTGTAATTAGTTTATTTCTGCTTTCTTCTTAGGGATTTTTAGCACCTGGGGAAATCGATCCTCTGAATCGGAGATTTTCAACTGTCCCCAAGCCAGATGTTGTGGTTCAAGGTGGGTGTGTCCTTTTTGCCAAGAGCAGAAGTTGTGTATTTAACGGCCTTTTGGAGGCAGAAACCTTCTGAATGGGGAGTGTAGCAGCAATGGCACGTATCAGTATTGCACGTCAAGGTTTGCCAAATGTTTTATATATGTTATCTTATTTGATCCTCTCAGCACCTCCATGAGGTCGATGCTGTTATTGCTTCCATTTTACAGATGAGGAAATGGAGGCTGAGCAAGGCAAAACGACTTGCTGGCTGCCAAGTGACTTGGTCAGATAGCTAGGAAGAAAGAGTCCAAGGTGGGATTTGAACCCAGGTCTTCCTGGCTTTAAAGCCAGTCCTCTCTCCCCTGTACCTCCCCTCGGCCTCAAGTTACTCTTCTGAAAAGCGCCATGTATTGTGCTGTGAATGCTGTCTGGTCTGATTTACAAATTGCTTTTCCAGTGGTTTGACTCAGCTGCAGCTGGGCCCCAGGAAGCATCGGCTTCTCGGAACTCACTGCTCTTCTGGCTGCCTTGTCCTGTCGCCTGTCCTCCTGCCCCTTCTCTGTTTCCATTGTTAATGGCTCTTCCAATTTCCATCTTGTCACTTGGCTTTCAGAAGGCTCTATGGGACGTGTAGTTCTTCAGAGAGCTTCTCCTCTAGTTGCTGCTTCTTGAGAGCAGGGCCTGTCTCTTGCCTTTCTTTGTATCCCCAGAGCTTAGCACAGTGCTGGCATGTAGTTGGTGTTTGGCATACAGTAGATGATTAATAAATGTTGGGGGGGTTTTGACTGACTGACTGATGGCCACTTATCAATCTTCATCACTTGTTTACGGCCACAGCTTACTAGCTGCTCTTCCTGCCTCCAGCCCATTCCCCTTACCAATGTGTCTAACACAACACTGCCCAAATAATCCTCAGAAAACACAGCTATATCAGATAAATTCCAGACACCTTGGCCTGGCATTGGAGGCCTTCTCTAATCTGACCCCGTCCTATATTTCAGACCGTTTCTATCGCTGCTTCCCTCCGTGCCCCTTCCACTCCAACCAGGCCGGTTTCCTTATTGTTCCCTCACGAGTGCCATGTACTGTTCTAATTGTCTAAATTCTACTCATTCATCTAGACTCACGTTTGCCATGAAACCTTCCCTGACCGCTTGAGGCCACTGTGTGCTCCCCAGGGGTATGCTGGTAAATGTTTAACAAGTGGCTCTCTGAAAAAGAGGATGCACAACACACTTTTAAATTTCATCTGCATTGGAGCGCTGGGTGGCCCAGCACTGGATAGAGCCCTGGCCCTGTAGCCAGGAGAACCTAAGTTCAAAGCTGACCTCAGACACTTACTAGCCGTGGGGCACTTAACTCCAATTGCCTCCCGAAGCAATTTTCATCTGCATCATAAACAATTTCTTCATCATTTTTTTGTCTAAACAGTCAACAACACAATAACTCAAGGCCTGATTTGTAGTCTTGGCCAGTTTCTGAGGTGCATTTGCTCACCGTGACCATTTAACAGGCCGCTTTCATAAGGCGATACTAGCTGGCTCCAGCACCCTGCGGATCTCCCGCTCGTCTCGAGGCCTGCAGCTCTGACCCTCGGAACTACCTCTTTCTCACTGTTTCGTGTCTTTTCTCTCCAATTTGACCCTCTCTGAAAGGGGAACCAGAGTTCTCCTTTTCTTTGGAACTTGCTCCGTCAGTCATTTCTTCCCTCTCTTTCATTTTCTTCTTCCTCCACTCTCTCCTTCACCCTGTCTCACTTGAAGAAGTGGCCTTTCTCCTTACCAAGGCAAAGCCTTCTACCTGCACAAGGGATCTCCTTCCAATCCGTCTCTTCCAGCAGATTGCCCTCTCTGCCATCCCCGCTCTTTCACTTATCTTCAATCTCTCCCTGACTCCTGGCTCCTTCCCTACTGCCTGCAGACATACCCATATCTCCCCCATCCTCAAAGAGCCCTCATCTGATCTGTCCAGTACTGAGAGCTGTCACCTGTATTTCTGCTCCATTTTGCAGCAGAGTTCCTGGAGAAGGCCATCCACCTTTGGTGCTCCCACTTCCTTTCATCTCACTCCCTTCTTAACTCCCTGCAGTCTGGCTTCTACTCTGTCCCCCTTGGTCCTCTCTTCTCTCTAGGTTTCCAGGACACCCCTCTGTCTCCTGGCTCCCCTCCTCCCTCTTTGACCGCTCCTTCTCTGTCTGCTTTGCTTGATCCTCCTCCAGATCACACCCTGTAACTGGAGGTGTGTGTCCCTCGGGGCTCTGTCCTGGCTCCTCTTCTCTTCTCCCTCTACACTACTTCGCTTGGTGATCTCACCAACTCCCCTGGATTTAATGGCCATCTATCTCTATGCTGAGGATTCTCAACCTGCCCCAGCCTCTCTGCTGACCTCCAATTTCACATGTCCATCTGCCTCTCAGACATCTCAAACTGGATGCCCAGTAAGCATCTGAAAGTCCACATGTCTAAAATGGAACTCATTATCTTTCCCCTAACCCTTCCCTCTTCCTGTTGCTTTCTCATTACTATTGAGGACATCATCAGTGCCCCAGGCTCACAACCTCTGTGTCATCTTGGACTCCTCACCCCCCCATATCCCATTTGTTGCCAAGTTCGGTTGATTTTGCCTTTGTAGCATCCCTCGCATACACCCCTTTCTCTCCTCTGACACTGTCACCCCCTGGTGCAGGTCCTCATCTCTTCATGCCTGGACTGTTGCTGTAGCTGCTGGGGGAAAGGAGTCTGCCTGCCTCAGGTCTCTGCCCACTCTGGTCCATTTTCCACTCAGCTGTCCAAATGATCTTCCTAAAACACTTCACATCCTCCTCCTGCAATTGGTAAATTCCAATGATTCCCTACTGCCACCAAGATCAAATAGAAAATTCTCTTGGGGGCTTCTGAAGCCCTTCATGCCCTACCCCCTCCTCCTTTTCCAGTCTTCTTGCCCTTTACTCCCTGACATATCCTCCTTGATCCAGTGATACTGGCCTCCTAGCTGTTCCACCAACAAGACCCTTCATCTGCCAACTTGGGGCGTTTTCTCTGGCTGCCCCCAGGCAGCCCCCCAGGCCTGCGATGCTCTCCCTCATCATCTCTGCCTCCTGGCTTCCTCCACATGTCAGCTCAAGCCCCACCTTCCAGAAGAGCCCTTTCCCATTCCTCCTTATTCTTAGGGCCTTCCCTCTATTGATTCTCTCCAATTGATCCTTCTTAGAGCACGTTTGTACAGTCGTTGACATATCGTCTCCTCCATTGGATTGGAAGCTCCTCTGGGGCAGGAATGGGCTTTTGCCTTTCTATGTATACCCAGGGCTTAGCTCCTTGCCCAGTACATAGTAAGTGTTTAAAAATGACTGTTAAATTGACTCTATTGGACAAATAGCACTGCTAAGAATATGCATGTGTGCATGCGTGCGTGCATGTGTGTATGCGTGTGTGCATGTGTGTATATGTATATCTTTCTGTCTCTGACTTCCTTCAGGAATAAGCCCAGTCAGTAATGGGATCACTGGGTTAGAAAGCACACAGTTTGCTTACCTTTCTTCCAGAATTTCATGTTGCTTTCCGGAATGGTCAGGTCGTTTCCTGGCTCCACCAAGGGTGTCTGTCTTCCCATAGCCCCTCTCTCATGAACCGTTTCCACATTTGATACAAGGCACAGAGCAGAGCCTCTGACTTGTTTGCATATGCATCTCTCTTATTCTTGGAGATGCGGGGTATGTTTTCATAGGTCATTTAGAGTTTGCATTTCTCCTTTTGAAAACTATTCATCTCTCTTGGTTCCTAACAGAATGGTTCTTGGTATTAGCTATTTGTGTCAATTCCCTTTATGTTTTGGATATTGACTTTTACTGGTGATCTTTGGCACACGTATTTTCTTCTGCTTTACTCTTCCTATAGAAGCTGCCAATTGTTCTGCAAAAGATTTCGGCTCTTTTAGAAACAGGGCAATTACCCATAAGCCCTCAGTGACTGAGCCAGAAGCAGAGCCTAGTAGATTAGGTACCAGAACTTGTTCCCTTCAAAGGAAATCATTGAAAAGTAGTAGAACTATACATACAGAGCCTGTCACTTTTTGCTGGCGACAAATTAGAACCTTTCCCCAACAGATAAATGATCAAAGGCCATGATTGGACTGTTCTCAAGAGAAGAAATGCAAGCTATCAACAACCAAATGACAAAGTGCTCCAGCTCACTAACCATAAGAAAATACAAACTGAGGCATCTCTGAGGTTCCTCCTCACGCCCATCCGACTGACAAGGAAAATGCCAGTTGTCGGAGAGGCTGTGGGAGGATAGGCCTGTGAAGTGTTAGGAAGTGACAGTGATCTAGAAAAGACTAAAGAAGAAAACACTCTTCTCTGGATAGTCTCTCTTTTCTCTCCCTATAGTGTCCTTTCTAGCTGAGACGGAAGAAATCAAGGTCATCTTGAGGAACAATGGAATTGATGTGCAGACAATTGCTGAAGTGTACCCCATCAGAGTACAGCCAGCCCGAATCCTCAGCCACATCTACGCCAGCCTAGGTAAGGAGCTCTGCCAGCCCAGGAAGCAAGGGCCTCTTATCTTATCTTATCTTATCTTATCTTATCTTATCTTATCTTATACCATTGTGTTCCACTGACCTTGAGCTGGAATTTAGGGACTGTAGAATTTTAGCTTCCTTCAGCCCCCCTCTACCTCCTACATAGCCTTAGGAAAAAGGGTTCTTTCACACACACACACACAGACACACACACACACACACACACACACACACACACACACAGAGACAGAGGCTCACTGCCTGCGGGGAGTATCACCTGTGCCTCTAGTAAATACATACCGCAGGGCATCACTGGAGACCAGCAAGGTTGGGTGCCTATCCCGGGAGCGTCCTTAATGAAAATGTTGGCCCCACCCGTCCTTGGAAGTCATGCTCAGAATGTGAAATGACAACAGTGAAATTAATCAGTGTCTTACTTCTGTAGGCAGCTAGGTGGTTAGAGTACTGGGCCTGGAGTCAGCAAGACCTGGGTGCCTTAGACACTGGACCCTTAATCAAGTCACTTAATTGATTTCAGCCTTAGTTTCCTCACCTGTAAAATGGGGATAATAATAGCATCTGTTTCCCAGAGATATTGTGAGGATCAAATGAGATAATATTTGTAAAGTGTTTGCAAACTTTAAAGTGCTGTAATAATGGTAGCTATTACTATTGTTATTACTTATTGGTTGGAGATTTGGGTTTCGTGGGGGGAGCAGTGGGGGTGGGGGTTATGTAAGTCTCCAAGAAAATGACTACTTCCTAATCCCTTATTGGCTCGAATTTGTATTCATTTGTGTTTTAGATGAATATCTGAGGCTGCCCTTTAACCTCAAAGAGGCCTGGGCTAGGGTTGTGCCGTGCTAGGGTCATGACGGGATTCTTTCTTTCCTGGTTACTAAAGTGGTGGAGCAGGGAAGGCTATGGCTCCAGCTTCCCAAGGGTTTCCATAGCAGAGCATTCGCCATATTATTGGCCATTATTCTCGCGGACGAGACGGGGAGAGGTGAGCCATTAATGACACAGCCGCCGAAAACGCTCATGTCATCCTGGACGTGAGCACTAAGGAAGGCGTGGCTTCTAGAAGTAAGGATGGAGCTGTGTGACAAGCATGGTATGCTAGGGATATGGATATAATATACACAAAGCCAGCCAGTGCCTGCCCTCGAGGAGCTTCCATTCTGATGGGGGGAGACAACACAGAAGAGGCTGGGGGGGTGCATGTGGTAGTGCCATAGTGGGGATATGGCCAGGAGGTGGGGTGGGGGAGGCCTGGATCCCAGCAAGATAAGGTGAAGCCTGAGGCTCTGGAGGAGGGGAGAGGGGCTCATGTCCACAGTGCAAGGAGCGAGGCAGGAGGCTGACCAGGATGAAGGTTCACATCCCACTGGGC